AAACATAACTAACCGTGTGTGTGTGTGTGTGTGTGTGTGTGTATGTATGTATGTATTTAACCTTAGAATACTGCTCTGAAAATGTGCCCCAAACTTACAAATCAGAAATGTTAATGGAGTATTATTTGTAATTGGAAACCCCAGGGGGAAAAGTAGAAATCCATCTATAAGAGAAGGGAGAAATAGACAGGATTTCACACACTGAAAAGGACAGTGTAGATTTATTTTGCAGTGACTTGGAAAATTCTTCATGGTACATTGTTAAGCCAGAAAAGCAAATCATAGAATAATTTGTGGAGTGCAATGCTCTTTACATGAAAATAGCCAAGGTAGGGATGTGTGTGTGTGTGTGTGTGTGTGTGCGCGCAGCATATGGTGTCAACCAGTCTTGAGAACACAGCTGCTGCTTTCCCTTTGCAAAGTTTGCCATACCATTGATCTCCCCAGTCCTAGCTTTACAGATATGTGACACTACATCCAACTCTTACTTCTGTATTTGAAATAACACAAAACATTTTGACTTTTTGTACTTCAGTTATTTTTCCACAAGAGACATTGCCCTGCCAAAAGGGCAAATAAATATCTTAAACTCTCTGTAAACATCCTAACTCACTTGAGACTATGGCATTGTTTTCTTTGCCTCCATTAACATGGGTGTGTCAGTCAAATATTGACTCTGCTTCCATTAGCACTATAAACTTTTGATTCTAGGTTTTGACCTACTCCCTTTTAAAGTGAGTGATTGCTTATTTTGCAGTTGTACTAATTACTAGTTACCCACTCTAATTTCTAAGTCCCCTTCCCAATAACAGATCCTTATTTATTTTGTCTGTCTCCAAAAACTAGATTGTAGCCTCCCTTGCAGTTATGGGTGCTTTTTTACCTGATTTTGACTAGTGCATGAATAAGATGCATTTCATGATATCTCTAAAAATGCTATTTCAGGAAAGCTGTCTTGTAATTAGATGAAATGACTGAACTCCAGAAGCTATATTGGAATATAAAGTCACTGATTTCAGGGGAAAAACTTTCACTGGTGATTGGAGTTGGGGTGGGTATTTTCAGGTTCTTGGTGTCAGTCAAAAAAAAAAAAAAAGGCTCCCACAGATTTACAAAAGAACCAAGATAACTGTATTTAAAGCCTAAAAGGAATGCACTGGGCATGGTGGCACAGTGGCACGGTGGCACACGCCTTGAATCCAACACTCGGGAGGCAGAGGCAGGTGGTTCTCTTGAGTTCAAGACCAGCCTGGGCTACAGAGTGAGTTCGAGGCCAGCCAAGGCTACACAGAGAAACACTATCTAAAAAACAAACAAAAAATGCCACAGTAATAAAAAAAAATAAATGAAAAAGGGATACACTATCAATGGACCATATGAGTGGAGGTACTCAAGGCCCCATGACGTTTGGAGGGACCTTTTATGGGATTCAAGCAAAGGAGGAGCTGATTCTAGAGAGCATAGTTTTGGTGGTTTTCTATTCTGTACGATAGTTTATATAGTTTATTCTTCTTGCTGAGTATGTCCTTTTCCATCTGATTTTAACCATATGTATGACCCCTGTGTATAGCATAAGACGGTAAGTGGGAGACCCTCCCTAAAAGTTTACTAGAGGACACAGCTTTTCCTCATTTCTATGCACCTGAAATCAGTTCAGGCTAGATCAGTCCCTCTGTCCTTCATATCTGTATACACTGGGGACACACTGAATAGAAACTGAATTGTCACTAGGGGTGAGGAAAGCTACTGTGCAGGACTGGGACTTTAGTATGGTGGCCCGATGAAGCTAAAGGAATTAGGATTACAAGTGCATTGTTACAATAAAGGGGGCACTAAGCAAAACCAACTAGGGGCCCAGGCTAAACTCCCTTCTATGTATGCCTGCCTCAAAGCCATCAGTCACATCAGAGGAGGAAATGTGTCCCTTTCTGACCTCAGGGAACTACTGGGCAGTCTGTATTGTCTTGTTCTAGGTTTCTAATGTAAAAAAGAAACTTCTTTCTTACACAAACCACTATCACTTGGGGATTTTTTTCTTTTACATATAATCTCAATACTTTTTTCTATTGATTTAATTATTCTCTTTCTTGTATCAGAATCTTAATTGATTTAAGTATTCTCTTTCTAATGCACCAAACCAACAGCTGGCCACACTCCTAAAGAACTGGGGATAAATTCTTTTACACACACTTTTCTAAATATCTTTGAAATAGTCCTCTTGTTAATTCCCCAATTTATTTTTTTGAAAATCTGGATTTGTATGTGCTAAACTTTCTCTTAAAAGCCTCATATGTTTCTTCTACCAGATCAAGACATTTTTCAAATTCAAACTCCAGGGCTTTTGTTTCTCCCTTACACATTTCTGATTGGTGCCTTCAAGAGATTGTACTGGGCCCATAGGCAGGCCAGTAATCCCAGCACTCAGGAGGCTGAGGCAGGAGGATCATTGTTCAAGACCTTTCTGGGCCACATAATGACTCCCTGTCTCAGAATAATAAAATAATAATAATAATAATAATTAATAAATAATATATAATAATAATATATAAAGTGGCAAGACCATGAAAATTTAGAAGAGACTTAAGGAATTGACACAGGCTGAAGAGTAAGGTAATAATGACATAAGACAACCTGGATCCTGAACACACAGATGGGACATTAGAGAAAAATAAAATCCTAAGATTTGAATAAAGTCTGTCCTCAATGAGTACCAATGCACAGGCATTAATTTCTTGATTTGGTGAATATGCACTGGTCATCAACATTAGGAGAAAAATGGGAAAAGGTATATATAGTTATATACATATATAACTATAACATATATATATATGTATGTATAACATGTATCTTCTATTGTCATAATTTTTTTAAAGATTTTATTTATTATGTATATAACATTCTGCCTCCTCCATGTATGCCTGTACACCAGAAGAGGGCACCAGATGTCATTATAGATGGTCATGAGCCACCATGTGGTTGCTGGGAATTGAACTCAGGTCCTCTGGAAGAGCATTCAGTGCTCTTAACCTCTGAGCCATCTCTCCAGCCCCTGTAGTATGCCACCATTTTGTTTTGTTTTGTTTTTGTTTTTGTTTTGTTTTGTTTTGTTTGTTTTTCGAGACAGGGTTCCTCTGTAGCTTTGGAGACTGTCCTGGAACTCATTCTGTAGACCAGGCTGGCCTCGAACTCAGAGATCTGCCTGCCTCTGCCTCCCGAGTGCTGGGCCTAAAGGCCTGTGCCGCCACTACTGCATAATTTTTCTATAAATTTAAAATCATCCCCAAGAAAATGTTTCTACTAAAATTAACTACAGTAGTTTATTTGCCATGAACTCAAAGTTCTTTCTCTAAATATAACACACACACACACACACACACACACACACACATTTGTTCTGGAGATTGAACCTAGAGCTTTGTAAATGCCAGTCATTTGCTCTACCATAACCTCTGTGGTAAGTTTCTCATATTTCAAATTTCACACTTCAAGCCAGGAGTGCTGTTGCTTATCTGTGATCCCAGCACTTGGGATGTGGAGGTAGGGGACCAGGAATTCAAGGTTATCCCCTGATACATAGGGAGGCTGAGGACAGCTGGCCACATAAGCCCCTATCTCCAAACAAAAATTTCCGTATGTTTTTTGTCTCTTAGTTTAAATTGGGAGAGCTTTCACACATCAGCAGACGGAGGGTCTGGTAAACACCTAATTCCTAAGGTTCACCAGCTTTTTTTGGTAGTGGTGGTGGGATTGTTTTTCGAGACAGGGCTTTCTATGTAGCTTTTGAAGCCTGTACTGGAACTCTCTCTGTAGACCAGGCTGGCCTTGAACTCACAGAGATCCACTTGCCTCTGCTTCCTGAGCGCTGGGATTAAAGGTGTGTGTGCTACCACTGCCAGGCATGTTCACCCTCTTGTTGTATCATTACCTATCAGAGAACACAGAGAAGGAAGCAAGGCCATTTGGTGTTTTCTTCTCAAAAGAACATGTGATGGGTAATCTTGGTTATTAACAAAGATTTTGAATCAACTAAGGGACAAAACTCTAGGCAGGTGTGTAAATACATTTCCAAAAGGGATTAACTAAAGTGAGTGGATCTGCCCCTTTGCAGGGTAGGATGAAGGCCCACATAGATCAGAACTGGTAGAAGAAAGATCTCTTACTTACCTGCCTACCTTTGCTTCTTGCTGGTGAGCATATTTATTGGGATGCTCCTGTTGCTCCTTTCTGCAATCCTTTGCTGACATCTGGCAATCTTCAAGGCCTTTAGCCCCAAATGGGGGCTGCTGACACCCACCCACTTCATGGACTGAGCAGCCATGTCACAATGCAAACAGCCATTGTTGGACCATTCATTTAACCTCCCGCCTTTTATAATACACATGCATTTTATTGGTTCTTGTAGAATATATTTGTGATTTATTAAATTTTGCCTGAGGATTCAGAAAAGCAAAGTCAGCCACAAGCCTTAGAAGCCGGGCACACACCTTTAATCCCAGCAACCAGAAGTTAGGAAGTGATGGAACACACCTTTAATTCTAGGACTCAGGATTAAAAGGTAGATGGATATCTGCGAGTTCAATGCCACCCAGGAATATGTTAGAGTGAATCAATCTAAAAGAGAATTATATCTCACACCTTTAATCCCAACATTAGGGACCTGTTTTAGACAGAAGCAAGGACTCAATAGAGACATTTGTTCTCCAACCACACTGAGGAGAGGCACCAGTTTTAGACTTGGTGAAGAGCTTGTGCGGGGATCAGTCCTTTCGGCCTCAGCTAGAGGTGAGAGCTAGTGGCCAGCTGCTTTGCTTTTCTGATCTTCAGCTTGAAGTTTGAACCCAAATATCAGTCTCTGGGTCATTTATTATTTCGTGTTACAGGTTCTGTTCCTTTTGCGAACCCTGAATTAACTAATTCCACCATGAGGACTCCAACCCCATGACTGAACTAGGTCCAAAAAACTTTTCCCACTGAAGGTTGAAGTTAGGGAAGAGGGCACAAACACCAAGCACATAAAAATCACTTTATGACAACCATATTACTTTTCGTAAGTACGGGATGGAGGCAGAAAACACACCATATTAGTTACTCTGTTCATTGCTGTGACAAAATGCCGGACAGAAGCAACCTAAAGGAGGAAGGATTTATTTCAGCTCATAGTTTCAGGGAAAGGCATTAGGGCAGGGAAGGCATGCCATGGCAGTGTGGTCAGTACTTGCAGGAGGGTGAGGAGACTGCTCACGTGGTGGCTGACCAGGAAACAGTAAGCATGTGAAATCATGGGTTTGAAGGCCCAGCTCCAATGACTTATTTCCAGCAGCCAGGCCCTTCCACAACCTCGAAATAACACAAAAGCTGGGTATCAGCACTCAGTACATGGACCCATGAGGGTTTCACACATACTGTACACAGATGAACAGGTTCTCACCTAGAATAGCAAGAATCCCACTTTTCCCAAGAGAACTTGCTGGGAAGGAACTTCTCAGGCCAGGACTTCATTTCCCAGGGTTCCTTGAGACACAGTGGATCAGAACTACTTACTTCCCCATAAGAAGACCAGAAGGCATGTAAGAAAAGTGAATGTGTCTTTCCCACTTGTCTTCCTTCATTTGCTGGCTGGATGCCAATGCCTGGGTGCCTCGGAAGTCACATGGTCCCTGAAAGACTTTGGGAGGCCAAGCACCCCATCCAGCTGCCACCTTAAACCACAAAAACAAAACACTCATTTGGGTACACTGACTCTGATCATGTCTAACTAACAGGGACAGGGTTAGTATCATGTGATCTTTCTAGACTCACAGCATTAAGCAGAAGTTAATCCCACTGACCAAAAATAAGACCACTACCACAGTTTAAAGCCAAATTTGAAGCAAACTTTAACTAATTACTGACCAGTTGGATGGGCTCTGGCCAGGTTCATCTCTGGTTCCTCAGAAAAATGGCTCGGAATCAAGTTTTGTAGAGTCTTAAGTATTTCCCATCAGGTCCAATCAGGGACAAGCCTACATCCTGACATATTTCCTGCCTGTGAACTTCCTGCCCATATGTGATGAAGCACATCTGGGGCAGATGGGCCAAACAAACCTGTTTATGGGAGTGAAAACTTATGGCTTGTTATCTCCCAGAAATAACAGCCTCCAGCATTTCAGGAACTATCCATCCTTGGACAAGGGGCTTATAGAACAGAGGCATTTTTGTTTCATGGATCTCTAAGGCATAGCAATTAAAACTTAAAATGTAACTTGTGCTCTCACAGATGTAGCTCAGTTACAAAGTACTTGCCAAGCATGTTCAAGGTCCTAGATTTGATCTCTTACCTTGAGAATGAAGATTTCAAGGAACAGTAGATACAGGGCATGAAAGAACTGTGCAAATCACTGTGTTTAAAACTAAAATAGTATCGGTTGGGCTGGGCGGTGGTGGCTCACGCCTTTAATCCTAGCACTCCGGAGGCAGAGGCAGGCAGATCTCTGTGACTTCGAGACCAGCCTGGTCTACAAGAGCTAGTTCCAGGATAGCCTCCAAAGCCACAGAGAAACCCTGTCTCAAAAAAAACCAAACAAACAAACAAACAAAAAAAAACAACAAAAAAACCCAACCAAACCAAAAAAATAAAACTAAAATAGATGCTTTGTGTTTTTTGGTTCATGACCACAATCCCTGGCTATAAATCCCTCCGGAGTTGGGACATTGAAATTTTTATCATTTCTAGCCTTTGGCTGGCTATAGAATAATTATCTGATATACCTTATCTGATACTAGGTCATAAGACCCTTTTCAGGCTGGGCGTTGGTGGCCTTTAATCCCAGCACTGGGGAGGCAGAGGCAGACAGATCTCTGTGAGTTCAAGGCCAGCCTGGTCTACAGAGTGAGTGCCAGTACTGCCTCCAAAACAATACAGAGAAATCCTATCTGGGGGGTGGGGCGATGATGACAGGACCCTTTTCATTCCAGAAGGACTTTGCCCCTCCCCTAGAAGAATGAATGTTGCAGTTGCAGGGAGTCCAAGAAGAGCACTGAAATACCTGGGCCTCCCTGAGTCCCCTGCTTGCTCTGTCTATTAGCACAGGGTCACCCCCTTTAGTCCAATCCAATTTCAACATGGTTGTCTATGTTTCAATCATGTCTATGTACTGAATTCCTCCACAAAAGCCAAAGGATACAGGCGTGATGCACTGTCCAGACAACCAGCATCCAGGAGGCAGAGGCAAGAAGAGTTTGAAACCAACCTAAAATAGATCATATGACTATGTCTCAAAAAGAAAAGAAAATGAGGAGGATAGGGGGAGGAGAAGAGGGAGAAGAGGATGAAGAGGAAGGAAGGAGGGAGGAAAGAAGGAAGTAAGTGAGGGAAAGAAAACCAATCTCAGAAGGAAAGGAGGGAGGAAGAAAACGTTTACATCTATACCTTTATATATTTAAGAAAACAGTCTGGTTTTCAAGTAGTGTCACTATTCGGAGATTCCTCTGAGAGACGCTTATGTGGGTGAATTTGTCTCTGCTCTGAAGTGAATAGCTACATGGTAGCATGCACCACCTCTTCAGAAATTACCATGGCAGTGGCTTCTTTTCCTGTCTCTGTGATACAATACTTGATAAAAAAGCAACTTAAGGGGGAGTTTTTTTGACTCACGGCTGGGGATGCAGTCCATCACAGCTGGGAAGCCACGGCAGCAGGAGCTTGAGGCAACTGGCCACATTGCTTCCAGAGATGGAGCAGGCAGCTTTCTCCTTTTTATGCAATCTAGGACCCAAGCCCATAGGAGGGTGCTCCCCACATCCAGGGCAGGTCCTCCTACCTCAGCTAGCCTTAGCCTGATCTAGATAATCCTTTACAGGGTCTGTCTAGAGACTTGTCTCCAGGTGACTCTAGATCTTATCAAGTTGACAATACTGCCCATTGCAACCATGTATGTTGACTCTAGTCTCCTTTTTTCATATGTGGTGCTGGGGCTCCAACCTGGGGCCTTGGGCATGCTTTCTTTCTGTGATCAGAAGAAATTTAAAAAGTGTTCTTTCTTTCTTTCTTTTTTTCTTTCTTTCTTTCTTTCTTTCTTTATTTATTTTGGCTTTTCGAGACAGGTTTTCTCTGTGAAGCTTTGGAGCCTATCCTGGCACTCGCTCTGTAGACCAGGCTGGCCTCAAACTCACAGAGATCCTCCTGTGTCTGCCTCTTGAGTTCTGGGATTAAAGGCGTGCGCCATTAATGCCCGGCTTTAAAAAGTTCTCTTGAAGACAGGATTGGATGGAACCTTCTCCATGTATTGTGATTCCTGGGCATGGAGCCTTTCAAAACAGAATCAAGGCTGGGACCAGGCAAGGCAGTCAAAATCACTATGCCAGCAACTGATGCTCTCTGTCTGTCTGTCTCTCTCCCCTCTCCCTGCTCTCTCCCTCTTCCCCCTCTTCCCTCCCTCTCCTTCTCTCCCTGTCCTCTCTCCCTCTCTTCTCTCTGTTATATACATGCATGTTCCTGCTTGTTTACACTTGTATATTATATTTTCCATAGTCAGGTCCCTATGCTGCGAATGAGTTCTGGGCTCTGTTCCCAGATATGCAGGGTTGTCACTCTTCAGTTTAGAAAGTAAGGAAATTTCAACATGTCCTCAACATATTTTGGGGTAAACTAGAGAGTACGAAGTAAGTTTGATTTTTCTGGCATCTAAGCTATAAGTATTCACTGATTTTTATACAGTTAACTCCCAAAGATGTGGATTTGTTTCTTTTTAGAATGTTCCTCTGCTTAGCCCTGTTCTTTCTTGAGGCTGTTCTCCTATATATAGGCCCATTCATGGTCATCCATATGTGGAACCATGCTTGATGTGGATGCCTCATGACCATTTGTTGAGCCATTTGCCTAGCAACCCAGATGTTGGACCTTCGGGCCACTTCTTTGCATCCCAGGTCTATTTCTGTTTCACATTCCACAATGATGACATGTTATCCCAGCAACTAGACTCTAACATCTTTGAGAGTAGGAAACAGTGCCAATAACTGATAGAGATTAATTGATTATTAAATGTTTGTTGAGCCAGGTGGTGGTAGCACACACCTTTAATGCCAGCACTTGGGAGGCAGAGGCAGGTGGATCTCTGTGACCTCAAGGCCAGCCTGGTCTACAGAGATAGTTCCAGGACAGCTAGGGCTGTTACACAGAGAAACCCTGTCTCAAAAAACAAAAACAAAACAAAAACATCCAAAATGTTTATTGAAACAATATATGGAAGTGAATGCTTGATACTAGCTTAATTCTATTACCAAGACAATCTGACTTTATATGTTTGTACACATCAGTTGCCTATTAGTATTTCATAAGATGTACTATGGCTTTAAGCATAGAAATCAGAAGGATGTTTAACAATCATTTGTCACTCCAGTCCCAGAGTGTCCAGAGCCCTCTTCTGGCCAACAGAGGCACTGCATGCATGTGTTGCCTAGTTTATACATTCAAACAAAATACACACATAAAATAAAATGAAAATAAATCTCCAGGGCTAAAGAGAAGGCTTAGTGGCTGATTTTCCATAGGTCCTGGGTCCAATTCCAAGCACCCACTTGACAGCTCACAGCTATCTGTAATTCCAGATCCAAGAGATCTGATCTCCTGTCTGCCCTGCACAGACACCAGGCATGAATGTGGTACATGGACAAAGGTGCAGGGAAAACATCCACATATATAAATAGTAACAAAAAATTAATTCAAAGGAAACAGAGAAATGCCAGTTTCTCAAAGAGACAGAGCACCAAAGTCCTTAGTGACCATTGTAATGATAACTCAGTTGTCCAAGTCATTGTCATTTAGAGCAGTAACATCTGATACTTCCTCGCTTTCATAACAATTTCTGGCAATTGGTTTTATTAAAGTTAATGAAAAGTGTTTCTGAGAAACCTGGGGATTTCCATTATGACAATGAATACGAGAACTGTTAAGTTTTTGGTTTTTTTTTTTTTCCGCCTTCCCCTCATGCATAGTTTCTAAATTAAGTCACAAGTACAGGAACTCCTATGACATGAGTTTCTCAATTTGGCTAACCTCAAATCTTTACTGACTTCAATAGTCATGCATAGAACTTTTCTATTAGATAAAATTCATGTTCAGTTGTCATTGTCTATGGAAATCCTGAGGTATGGTACCATCATATATAGACCACACAGGCTTATCTACCTATTTGTGTCCCATAAATGCTCTCTGTGTATATCTATATCCCTTGGGAAGTCCTATGTCTCTATCTATCTCATAAGAGGAACAGACTCCACACAGAGGAAAGAAAGATCTCCACTAGTATCTTCTCTTGCTACTCTGTGAACACTGAACAACACTTGAGACAAGACTAGGGAGGTGGCTCAGGGGATAAGGTACTCACCACCAACACTGAGACCCAAGTTCGATCCCAAAGACCCACATGGAATATGGAGCAAAATGATTTCCACAAATTTTCCATGTGTGTTCAGGTACATATGCACAAGTATGTGTGTGTGTGTGAGAGAGAGAGAGAGAGAGAGACAGAGACAGAGACAGAGAGAGAGAGAGAGAGAGAGAGACTTATAAAAAAACACCTTGAAAATGGCTGAGAAAACAACAGAAACATTAGGATGTAACTGCTTGCCTCCCATCTTTGGAAAAAAATGCAATTTGGGGGTGGGGGAGGGGCTGGAGGCCTGGCTCAGGGGATAAGATAATGCTTTGAAAAGGGCCAGAGGTCAGTGCCTGGCACTCACATCAGGAAGTTTATAACAGCCTATAACTCCAGCTCCAGGTGACTGATGCTTGCCCTTCTCTGGCCTCCATGGTTACCTGCACACGTGTGCATACACACAGCCGGGTGGTGGTGAAGCATGCCTTTAATCCCAGTAGTGGTGAGGTAGAGGCAGGTGGATCTCTGTGATTTCGAGGCCAGCCTAGTCTACTGAGTGAGTTCCAGGACAGGCTCCAAAGCCACAGAGAAACCCTGCTTGGAAAAAACAAAGAAAAAGCCAAACCAAACAAAGAGAAAACAAAACAAAAAAAACAAAAAGAAAGATATACATGCAAATAAAAATAAAAATCTAAAATGTTTAAAGCAGCTTTTGGAGGGAGGAATTTTTTACTGATGTATTTTGATTTACTTTATGATTAAGGTCTTATTGAGTAGGTAATAACCCAGAATTTAAGATGGGTTCATTTAAAAGCACATTGACTGAGGATTTGCAATTTGCCAAACACTGTCCTTTGTGACTAGGGCTACACAAAGAGAGCACTCCACTCTACACCTGAAAACAAGGTCTCCGTGTTCAAATGAACGTTATTTGTCTAGGAGAAGCCAAGTGGTCCCATGTGGCAGGAGCTCATGAGGCTGGGAGAAGTGATTGGATTTTTACCATGAAAACAATAAGAAGTTAAGTCCTAGGGTGGCATCATTATTTGATTGGTTGATTTTGTGGTGATAGCGACAGCAGCTCACAATGACTAGAGATAGCACTGTCTCACTAGAGTTAGTGTTCAGGGTTAAAGGTGACTACTTTAAAGGGATGTTGACCAGATGTGGAGGACACCTTAGTTACACGACAAGTCTGAGGCCAGCCTAGACTATATGAGATCCTGTTTAAAAACAGAAAAGAAATACTAAACATATAAGATACGATGCTACATTGCAGGTGGAGGGAAGGATTTGGTCAACTTTTTGAGTGGAATAAAATAAAGAGTCCAGGATGCAGAGCTTGTTTTGGGCATCAGAAGCTCAGACATTTTAATCATTAATGGAGCCAGAGAACGTAAGTGTGGCAGGGCTAGGAGTTCTGTTTTAGAAATGTGTAGCAGTTTGAAGTATCAACATGAAGATACGCACGGGGGGGGGGGGGGGAAACTGGTTGGAAATAGTGAGATCACCGTGGAGAGACATCGTTATGGAATACCGAGGAAGGGGATGGTACGCTGGAGCAGACTAACAACGCCACGGATCTTCACCAGAATTCTAGGACAGTAGAGTACAGAGAAGCCGGATGACTGGACTGAAGAGTGCCCGTGTTAGAGTAGACAGCTCTGCAGACACAGCAAAAGGGGGTCCCGGGAAGTCATAGAAACTTTGTCTCTGCTTGTCTTTTAGCTGGTTAATCTGAAACGCCCTCTACTGGCTCCTGTCTTGGATACTCTGTCCCCAACTGGAGAAGGCTTGGAATGCTAAATGCGTTGGAGTTTCTAGAAGAAAGGCCTTCCTGCTTAAAAGTAGGTCACCAGAGGAGGGCCTTTGAAGGTTATATGGCCCTTCCCTCAGCCCCTCACCCCAAGTTCCAGCATGCTTTCTGCTTCCTGGTTGGCTGCCATGTTGAAAGCTGCTGCCTCCCCTTCCTGACTACCAGGTACAGATCTGCTGTGGCAGCCCAAAATCTCTCTGAAATCCTGAGCCAAAGCACGTGGTCTCTTTCTCTCCTTTGCATTGCTTTTCTTTCTTTCTTTCTTTCTTTCTTTCTTTCTTTCTTTCTTTCTTTCTTTTTTCAGCTGTTTTGGTCAACCAATACAGCTGGCCTGAAAAGATTTCTCTGGACGGGTGGTGTGTTCTTTATTAATTCTAAAGTTCCAGAAGCTGAGGCGAGTGAGGATCACTAAGTTCAGAGCTAACCTGGACTAGTGTTTTCCTGACCCCATCCAGCGATCGGGGCGGGGCGGGGGGAGGGGCTGCCCATACTATGAGTGAAGAAAGGCTACCTAGACAAAGGGGAATCAGAACTTGTTGACCCTGTTGTTCTGTGTGCTTCTCCTCCCAGTGTGTAGAAGCAATCACGAATATGTGATGAATTATCTATAAAACCCCAAAGGGATTGATTAGGTCTAGAGAGTTTCTGGGTAGCTGAACTTCTGAATCCTAACAGCTGGTACACCTGAAGAAGGCGTAAGGCATTATGCTGACCTGCCCTTGTCACCTGGCTGAATGCACTCAGGCAGTACCCTGGTCAGCCCAGGCTTCCATGAGTACTAGTCTGCAAGAAGCTGCAAAGGACCCCTTTAAAACAGACCCCCGCCCACTTACACTTTCTTCCCTGTGGTTCCCCTGGGACAGATGGTACTTTTCCTGTCTTCCGCTTCTCTTCTGTCCTCTCTCTGTCTTCTTGTCTCTTTTCTCTTTACTTTCCCCTTTCCCTCCCCTTTCTAATAAAACTCACTTAACTCCTGTCTGCCGCACGTTTGTCCCTCACCTGCCATGGCATCCACCAAGGTCCCCCTGGCGCTTTGTCATAACTGAGGATATGAGGGCTGCAGATCCCTTTTCCCTTGCATCTTTTCATTTTCATCCTCCTTTTCCTTTTGGTGGTGGGAGTATCAAACTCAGGGCCTGCACACGATTGCCAAACACTATCCCTGGACCCTGATTTTGTGAGTTACGGTCTCACCATCAAGTCAGGCTAGTCTCAAATTTGTGAAGCCCTGTCTCTGCCTCCTTATTTCACCTTACCAGTTACAGTCAATCAATCAGCAAGGGGAGGCGAGGCTGGGACCCGGAGGACTGCTGCGTTTTGGCTTGCTTCTGTGGCATGCTCAGCTTGTTCAGGACCATGCTCAGGTGTGACCTTGCCCACAGTGTTCGAGGCCCTCCCACATCAGTGAAATTGCCCTGCAGACATGCTCACAAGCCAGCGGGGGAAGCATTGTCTCAATGGAGGTCCCTCTTCCCAGACGACTCTAGTCTATGTCTAGTAGACAAAATCTAATAGGCACACTCAGGCAATTTGTTGCCTTTGTAGTGCTCACTATAATGAAGCAGCAATGAAGGTTATTCTTTGAATTCTGTGAGGTGCTCAAGCATATTAATTGAACCTGGGGAGAGAGGGGTTGCTTGGGCTGTGTGAACTCCTGTTTGTACCTTGTCCATAAGCACTGAGAAACCTGGGGTTTTGACTGGCATCTAATTAGAGGGTCCAGTGTTAGGCACTCAACGTTGGGATCTGCCACTATCTTGGTATCAGAATTTAACTGGAGTGGAAGATACCCAGATGTTGTTCACTGTTGCAGAATTTAGCCTTGTGGGTGGGGCAAAATCTCCACAGGATTTTTTTAAAAATATAATTTATTTAACTTTTATTTTATGTGCATTGGCATCAGATCCCCTGGAACTGGAGTTATAGACAGTTGTGAGCTGCCATGTGGGTGCTGGGAATTGAACCTGGGTCCATCAGGAAGAGCAAGCAGTGCTCTTAATCACTGAGCTATTTCTCCATCCCCCCAGGGGATTTGAGGTCACAAGTTTTCTATGTTTATTACAGTGTGACAGTAGAGGGAAAATGGGATGATTGTTTGTTTAGACAAGTTCTAATTGTGTAGGCCATAATGGCCTTCCGAGTTGTGCCAGTTATCAATTGTTGACTTTCTGCTCCAAATTTGTGTTTTTGGTGTGTTAATGTCCATCGTCTTTGCCGTGGGTGTGGTATTAATCTTGGCCAGTAGAGGGCAGTAAAGGAATGTTGCAGGAACAAGGCTGTCGCTTCCTTGTGATTCTAGTGTGTGGCTTTTGCTTATTTCTCCAGTTGCAAGGTGAGTCGGTGTGCAAGTAGGCGAGAAAAGCACTGGTGACATGTCCCAGTCGTATGCCTAGAAAGCAGTCTCCTCGGGACCTTGCCATATTGAAATGGTTTACTGACCTTCCTGCCATCCTTCCCCTTGTGGTGACACAGGGTGCCTCAGGTCTGACAACTAAAGCAGCACTCCGACTCTTCTTGAGAAGCTATACTCCATGCCAACATCTGTGAGATACAATAACATCAGTGCTTAGAGGGAAATCTATACTTTTGGGGTTTGCAAGAAACAATGCAAGAGGCCCTAGGTTCAGTCCTCTCAGCGCTACAAAACAAAATTGCTAGAGAAAAAAAGTGAACTAAGTATGGAGTTTGACAAACACCAGAACAAATGGAGAAAAAGAAGGATGGAACTTACAAAGATAAAAGCACAAACCATTAAACTAGAAAACCAGAAGAAAAAGTGGGGTTGGTAGCTTGTGTCTGTAATCCCAGTTGGAAGGGAGACATGGGAAGATCAAGAGTTCAAGGTTTAGAGGAGCAGTGGTGGCACACACCTTTAATCCCCGTACTGGGGAGGCAGAAACAGGTGGATCTCTGTGAGTTAGAAGCCAACCTGGTCAACAGAGAGTTCCAGGACAGGTAGGGTTTATACGGACAAACACTGTCTCAAAAAAAAAAAAAAAAAAAAAAAAAAAAAAAGTATGAGGTTTGTCTGGCTGCATTGGGAGTTAGTTAGAATTCATTTGAGACAATGTTTCAATATCCTCTGCCTCCCACCCCTGCGCCCAAAACAATAACTCCTAAACCAATTAACAAAACAAAACCAAAAAATAAAAAAACCTCAGGGGAAATAGGATAAATTAAAGAGTACACAAAATGAAACAACCTAAAAAACCCATAGGAAACAGGGTTCTGTTTTAATTTTCTTTTGTTTACCTTTGGATTCATAACCTTCTTGCTTCAATGTCCCAAGTACTTTGCAGGTGTGCACCGTGGTGTTCACAGCAACTGAGATCTTTGAATGAGTGTAGTTTCTCATACAAAAAATAACCCCAGGAGGTTCAAACAATTCTCCAAGTGAATTTAAGGTGAAAACATAGTTTATTCCCTCTAACAGTCCAATTCCTTTTTTAGTAAACTGTTAATCCAATTAATCAAAACCATAATTATGACAACCCTCTCACTTTTCTTTTTAGTACAAAGAAAGCCCATGCAAAATGCAATTTCTTTACACAAAACATATATGGTCCAGAGCACTTTGGAAATTGATTTTTCCACTTAAGTGTGGGGGAAGGAGACACTCAAAGGTGATTTTTTTGAGGTTCTAATTCCTGAAGGAAAATTCCTATTTTCTCCTGAATTTTGAATGCATTGAGAAAGCAAGTCTATAGAATATAGACCTACTTTAGTTCTGACAACTTTAATTACAGGATATTGTCTTACATCTTCAGATATGTAGGCAGCCTACTGCATCTCTGAGTCTTCGCAGGTATCAGCCTAGGCCCATGGACATGTATTCTTATGCCTGATCAAGTCGCTTAGATATCTATAGCAGATCAGTATATAGGGCATTCAGATAAATGTGCAAATATACAAGTAGGGTAAGTATGTCCCCCAAATTGCATGGGATATACTTATACTAACTATATGCATTGATTTTCTTCTAAGATTTTTAATTTTTATGTGTATAGATATTTTTGCTTGCATGTATGTTTAGTACCATGTAAGAGGCCTTTGACTTCCCTGAAACTGGAGTTAACAGATGTTTGTAAGCCACCATGGGGGTGCTGGGACTCAACCCTGGTCCTCTGGAAGAGCAGCCAGTGCTCTTAACAGCAGAGCCTTCTCCTCAGCCCTTGTACTGTTTTTCTGAAATTCAGAATTAACTTGGTATTCTGTGTCTGGCAATTCTACCGTCATTGCTCTTGCCTTACTGCCTCAGAACTTCCCCAAGATATCTTGGATTTTGTTAACATTCTCAATGCCTTTAAGAGAAAGTTTTTAAACTGATCAATTAATCTTGAGACAGGGTCTCACTGTGTAGCCCTGTCTGGCTTTGAACTTGCTATGTAGATCCATCTGGCTTCAAATTCACAGAGATCTGGCCGCTTCCACTTTCTCAGTGTTGTGATTTAAGGTGTACACCACGCCCAGTTAAAGTCTTTTATTTCTGATATGATCTTCAAGGCCCTGCCAAACTCTCCACTTTGCTGTGCCTCGGATTGTCTTGTCTTCAAGTTTCAACATGGCCAGTCCTGCCTGGATGCACCTCCCTTCCCATCTTCTCTAATCCTTAGGCCTTTTCTCCATATCATTTGAAGGTAAGGTTATAATGATTTCACTACCCCCAAGATAAATGATAAATGGGTGTTTATTGGGGAACACTTACACAGAAAAATACAAAGAACCCCAGGAGCACTTCTCTTCTCTTCCTACCTGGTCGGCTGACCAAAGAAAAAGACCCATGCAAGCGAAACCTCACCTTATGCTTCCCTTCTTAGGCTTCCCTCTTTCTGCTTCTGTACTCCTGAAGTCACACCCAAAGGGATGTGGCCACTGTTACAGGCAAGGCTGCTACAATCATGTGTTAAAGTCAGCTTTCTGTTACTGTAACAAATGCCAGAGACAGTCAATTTAAAAACCATTAAGGTTTATTTTAACTCACAGTTTTGGAGGCTTCATCCCTTTACCTATTGCCCCCTTACTTTTGGATCTGGAAATCTCCTGATGCTAATACATGTATAAATTAGCCACACCTTTGTTGGTTGCCCTCTTGTACATGCCCTGCTTGTATCATAACATTGATTTTATACCTGGTGATTTATGCATTTATCTTCCCTGGCAAGAGTGACTAACTCTAGTTGTTCTCCATACCTGAAGGATGCTTTGCATTATACCAGGTATGTAACGAGCCTTTCTTTGTCCCACCTATCAGCTCTCAAATAACCACACAGAGACTTATTAATTATGAATGCTCAGCCTTCACTTAGGCTTGTTTCTAACTAGCTATTATAGCTCAAATTAACCTATTTCTACTAATCTGTGTGCTGCCACCTGGCTCATGGCTTTTACCTCTCCTCCTGCATGTCCTGCTTCCTCTTAGTCTTCTCGGTGTCTCCCAAACCTAGATTCATCTCTTCTTTTCTCCGTGCCCAGAAGTCGCACCTAACCTCTTCTTGTCAAGTTATCGGCCATTCAGCTGTTTATGAAACCAATCAGAAGGTGCCTTGGCAAATACACATCTTCACAGCATACAAAAGGATTATTCTACAACACAGGCATCAAGCAATTAAGCACTAACTAAATATATATGCACACACACACACACACACACACACACACACACACACACCCGATCTAATAATCTTGTGACTATACAACTTTTCAATTGTATGTGAACCGGCCCTGAAATGGCTCAGCAGGGTCAGGTGCTTGCTTCAAAGTCTGACTACCTGGGTTCAGTTCCTTGAACTCATAATGTAAAAGGACAGAAACGACTGATGATCACCTCACGCACATACAGAAGTGTCCAAGAATACAGAAACATACACACACATAGCTAAATATAGTAAAAGAAAAAAAAAGTGTTCTTAGCAGACCACCTATCAAAAGCTAAGGCATTAGATAGTATCTAAACCCGTTAGAGTTTTCCCTTCCTTTGCCATAACCAGCCTAACCTGTGGCCTCAAAAACGCATTTGGCAAATGCCTTGATTAGTGATTTCCATTTTTTTAGAACTAATCAAACCTCGTGCTAGAACATTCAAAGTAGATTGTCATTTTGGGGCAAGCTGAATATGTGTTCTCTAACCACTGTCCCTCACATTTGTCTCCAGAATAAACTTTAGACAGGAGCTGTGCTTTTAGCGGCATTGTGAGGATGCTCGTGAGGATACTTAAGGGGGACAGTCTAGTTGGTTACCTGTTGCACTGGGTGGGTCCCGCAGGCCTGGTCCCTCGGGGCCCAGAGGGCAGAGCCCGCAGCGCACGCGCA